ACTTCACCACTTCATCACTCACATTAAGAGCAGTATTTATTGTGTTGTAAGTTTTTTGAAATGTGGTGTTTAAATATGCAAATGAGGCATTATGTAATGGTAACTTTTGGTGATTTTAGGAGAAATCTCCAGACGTAAACAGACAAAGTGATAAAATAAACGTTTTCTTTCCTCTAGTCTGAAAGAAGACGAGTTATTGAAGCAAAATCTTAAAATCTCTTAATTGACCAGTGAATGAAAAACAGTGTTTCGCCTGAACACAAGTTTAAATGTGAATTTGTAACCTTTACTTGTAAAGTATTTGATTACATTGTTTCTTTCTAATTTGAGTGAAAACCACCACTGGTTACAAATACGTTCATAACTACTAACAGTTTGAATTAGGAACATAATACAACTGCTGTTTAAGTTATTCTTTAAGTTATGGTTGGAGTCATGATTAAGCTACTAAGTGCTGTTAGTTATATTCAATATTAAAGTTAATAACACAGTTAATAAAGTTGCATCATTCTGCATCTTAAGCATGTTCGACCTGCATCATAGTTCAGCTGCATTCCCGTGAAAAGGTTTCCTCCAGAAACGTGTGAGCTGGGTTTGAATCTCGGGCTTGTGCAGAATGAAGTGGATGGAGGAGGTGGTGGTGGTGGGGGGGGGTTAACCGCCGAGCCCTGCAGGAACACGCCTGATAGGTGCTAATGGACTTGGGATGTGCCACCACAATGCCGAGCGGCCCCTGGTCCACCTCGGTGCCCGGGTTCCCATGCAGCCGACGGAATAGGAGGCCGAGGAGGAGAGGGGGGGCTGGATGGTGTACACCAGCCTATTGTGCCCCGGTCTTTAGCCTCGTTAGCCGCCACCAACCACTCCGCCTTTCCCAAGAGGAGCTCGAGGCCTGCCTGCCTGCCCGGACTTGGTAACCCGGCATCGGCGCGGGGCGAAAGGAGGGGAGGAGAGAAACAGTAGCCTTATTTAGGAGCTTGATCTCCAGGAAAGCGTCCAAAATTTGGAGAGAAAGAAAAAAAGGGGGGGTGCCCGGGACATTGGTGGCAGAGAGAAACAAACCGGGGGCTGACAAAGTTGTCTCTTTGGCAGTCGCGCCTCCTATTGAACCGGTAATTTATTCAAAGGAGATTTTCATCCCCGCGATCTGATTATTATGATAATCAAGTGACCCAGACCCCTTTTTCCTTGGCTCTTGTCTGCAGGGCTCTGGGCTCGGCGGTGACAGTAAAAGCTGATTTGCACGGTACC